CCTCTCATTCTGGAAACCTCAAGACTCTGGAGCTGAGGCCTCCAAGCCAAAGACTCATCCGTCCAAAACATTTTGCTGCCAGGGAATTAACTGCCCACACGGCCACTCACAAATGCACAAACAAGTCAAGGCAAAGTGGATTCAAAGCCAGACAAGTAATTTTGGTGCATGGGGCAGAAAATTATGTAGCTGCTCTTCCCACCCTACTGGCAGCAATAATGATGATTATGGCGAAATAGCTAACTATATTGTTTTGATGGTTGTTGTAGGTTTTTCAGGCTGTTTGGTTGTGTTCTGAAGGCTGGGTAGAGTTCGCCACAAGGAACGGTGATCACTGCACACAAAAGACTAACTAACACCACCCATCTGTCACAGTGACAGATCATCTCCCCCCCTTATCGCAACAATACACCCACAACAAAAACACCCTGATCACCATAATCACTCAAGAACAAAAAGTGGATCCCACAGCTACAAATACTAAACTATCCCACACACTACACCAGAACACAGACAAAGTTCTAGCTCCTGTCCTCTGAAGATGCTGGCCACAGAGACTGGCAAAACGTTAGGAAGAAAAACCTCAAGAACATGGCCAAACAGCCCAAAAAACCTACAAGAACTATCGGATCCTGGCTGTGAAAGCCTTTGAGAATAAATTTTTGTTTTGTTTTGTTTTCTGACACTCCCAAGCAAATACAAGACATCCCTGGCCAAATTTGAGATTTCCAAGATCCAAGCCTCCCACTATCTGCTTGGAGAACTGCATACACACACGGACGCACGCACGCATCCCATCTTTTTAAGAGAATCACAACCAAACTATCCATTGCCTATCAAGAAGAACAACATTCTCTGGAGGTTCTTGACAGAAGCTGGAAGAGGGCTCAGAAAGCTACTGTCTAACATAGTGACACAAAAAACCAGGACGTTTGCTTGGGAATGAAATTAAGATGAATTGACAGTCAGCTTCAGAGAGAAGACACTCTTTTGCTGAAAACTCTTGACGTTCCTATCAGGGCAACTCAAAGCTTTGTCAGGCAAATGTGGGGGCTTTCTTCATATCCTTCTGCCATTATCAAAAAGCAATAGAGCTGTAAGCCATGTCAACACAACAGCTGGAGGTTTCTGGGATTGATGTCTCAGGATGCTAAAGAATTATTCCCCCTTTTGGTGGTCGTCACCTGTCCAGTGCCATGGGAGCAAAGCAGCCCGGGGTTAGCGGGGGGGGGGGGAAACAGATGTCAATGTGGGAGAAGCAGCAAGCTTGCAAGTGGGGGGGTTGGTATCGAAGAATCCTGGTTCCCCAGTTGTAAGAGGAATAGAGGCAAATGTAACAGTAGTAACAACAGCAAAGGACACCGTTATTTCTCTTGCCACTGGCTGGATAGCTCAGTGGCTTAGGCACCTGGCTACAGAGCCAGAGGTTGAAGGTTCAATTCCCCACTGGACCTCCTGGGAAAAGAACCAGCCTGGGTAGACCTTGGGCAAGCGGCACAACCCCCCCCCCCCGAAGAAGGGAACAGTAAGCTACTTCTAAATAGCATCATCCAACTAGTTGCCATAAATCAGAATTGACTTGACAATTCACGATTCATATTATTATTTCCCTTATAGCAGTGGTCTCCAACCTTGGGCCTCCAGATATTCTTGGAGTTTAACTCCCAGAAATCCTGGCCAGCAGAGGTGGTGGTGAAGGCTTCTGGGAGTTGTAGTCCAAGAACATCTGGAGGTCCAAGGTTGGGGACCACTGCCTTATAGCATCCTCCCTTTCAACACCTATTGATTTGTGGCAATGACACCATGTGAATCCGGGGTGTTGTGATCCTTGAGGCTCAGAGGGTGAGCATCCAGGCTCTGATGCCCAATGAGGCTCAAGTGTGGGACAAACAGCTGGATTTCTAAAACAAGAGCCCTGAGACAGTAAAATCTCCTTTCCAAGCCAGCTCCGCTAGAAGCCCTTGACCCATCTTGTGCCGTGAATGAGTTCCAAACTTGGAAACATGTTCTCAATCCCTTCTACCAGAGGATTCTGCATTCAAGTGGAAAGGAAGAGAGGGAAACTTTGATCTCTGCTTTCTAACCTTCTGGCTTTTGCCAGTTTGCCTTTGAAAAGAAATCTATGAAAGACCTCCACTTGCCTTTCCTTAGTGGCACGGAGCAGGTATCATTTTAATCCCACAACATTCCACTCGGACCCCCCGATGTTCTTCGGTTTTTAGCCGAAGAACATTGGGAGACCCAAGGTTGGGAACCCCTGCCCTATCATTTTAACCCCACAACACTCCAGTCCACTTGGGTCCCCTGATGTTCTTCGGTTTTCAGCCGAAGAACTTTGGGGGACCCCTGCCCTACCATATGAAGGAAATGTGGTTCGCATTCCAGATAATCACCTCCAAAAGAAGAATTAATGCAGTCAAACAGCTATGGAGGAAACTGTTTTTTTTTTAATGTGCCATCAAGTTGGTTGTGATTGTATGCTGACGTGGAGGAAACTGTTGTGGTTTTTGTGTGTGTGTTCCATCAAGTTGGTTGTGATTGTATGCTGACCTGAATAGCACTTTTAAGGGATGTGAGATGTCCAAGGTAAAAAGTCCGCCATTGCCTGACACTCTGTCCACTATACCACACTGGCTCTTCAGTGTTAAGACCACTATGGTATGGCCAACTTTGGCTATAAACAGACCAACAGAAACCCTGATCCAACAGGTGAGGGGGTGAACAAGAAGTGCTCGAGTTCCAATACGTGATAGATAGCTTTTCGGTTTCCACTGTGTATTTACGGAGCCTTCCATAATTTAGCATCAAATATTTATTACCCCATTTATTAAATTTTGAATAATTTAACATCTGCAGCATGTCACGAAGGTGCTCAGTTAACTGTTCTCCCTCTCTCGTGCACCTGGGTCTTCGGCTCTTTGTATCCAGAGTACAGAGTTGACAAGCGTGAAGCTTCCTGCCAGATAGCAAATGTTTCACGGCAGCCGAATATTCTCGGTGCCTCTGTCTTTCCAACAGGAAAAACATGCCATCCACCAATAGGCATTTGATCGGTTTTCTTCTCAACAGCCTCTAACGATGGGTGGCACATTCCTGCCTCAGCCAGGTGGGCCTCGGCAGCTAAAACGTTGCATCAACTAAAGATGTGATTCAATTCCAGGCTGTCTTCCACTGGAATGCCTCTACGGAGGACCTCGTAACCGAAGGAAACAACAGTCTCTGTCCTGTATTAATGAACCATTGTCACTTTTCCTAGAATCAGGATCCCCTCCTGGTCATGGTGGTGGTGGTGTATAAACACAAAGGTCAAATATCTGCATACCAGGGTCTTAGGTCACACTGAAATACAGTGGTGCCTCGCTTAGCGAGCGCTGTTTAGCGATGAAATCGCTTTGTGATGCATTTTTTGCAATCGCAAAAGCGATCACTTTGCGATGTTCCCGATGGGGGAATTTCGCTTTGCGATGATCGGTTCCCTGCTTCGGGAACTGAGCATCGCAAAGTGACGAGGCCACCCACTGTGATCGGCGTTTTCAAAATTGCTGCCGGGTAAACAAAATGGCCACCCACTGTTTTCTGGGACGGATTCCTCGCTCTACAGCCACCGAAAATGGCCGCGCTATGGAGAATCTTCACTGAACAGTGAGTTTTAAGCCCATAGGAATGCATTAATCAGGTTTTAATGCGTTTCTATGGGCTTTTTTATTTCGCATTGCGACGTTTTCGTTCAACAGCGATTTTTGTGAAACGAATTATCGTCGCAATGCGAGGCACCACTGTAACACTGTTGTTAAGTGCTACATTATTTTGTATATGTTTTTTTTTCCTTTCCCCCTTTCTCTGTTTCTTTTCTCTTGCCAACACATTAACCTGGAGGTTTTTTAAATGCTTCCATGTCCAACCCACCAAACAACCTGTCCCCAAGTGATTCCTTCAGGACATTGCATGGAAAGGGATTATTCAAATTTTTAAGACAACATCAGCCAACACATTTACCAAATCACAGTTTGGCTGGCTCAATAGCCCAAAGCAAACCCCAGCTGTTGACGTAACAACCCCACATGCATTTTGGTAATACCACTATCAGCCAAGTGGCAGGTATGTATGAGCAGAGTAGGCTATAGATACAAAAAAGTGCGTTCATGTTCTGTAGCAAATCTGTGCCCACATGCATCTGAAGAAGAGCGTCTGTCACGGAATGGCTGGTCTTTGAAATCATTATAAGGTCACCCTAACCATCATCCAACTGCCCCTCCCGAGAGGATCCGTTCACAGTGAGGATCCGTAGCCCTCTGCTCCACTATTAAAACTACCCCACTGCCTACTGGATTTTCAAAACCACCCCATTGTCTTGGGTTCTTTTTAAGGACAAAGGTGGGGGTAAATAAATTAAAAATAAATTTTTAAAAAATGGCAATTAAAAATACTGGTGGAATTGTTTCGGTTCATCCTTAATAAACCAAATTCAATTTCACAGGATCTTAAAAACTACAACACACGAGAAATGCCACAACAGAAATGCCCGTAAACCTATGAATGCTGTTTTGAGGATAAAGCAGGCATTTTTTTTTCTATCACAGTGAATAATGGTGTGAATCGTTAAGAATCACAGTGCCAAACTGTCCTAGTCACGTGAAAAGGGGTAATGTAAAAAACGAACAGCTAGAGAGAGGTGATGTATGTTCCCTGAATAGCGAAGAGGCAGGAGACGGCGGCGGAGTTCACTCGGCAGAAGAGAAATTGAGTTTGTTTGCAGCTGTGCCTGTGTTCTCCAGCCTTGACCGGAATGCTAGAAGACGCAAGAGAACGGCCTGTTTCTCTCTCTCAGCAGAAGGAAACGTCTGCAGCGCTATAAATACCGAGAGCAGACGGGCAAGCAAATTTGGTGCATGCCGGTCTCAGTGCAACACTGGCCCAACTCCCCTTGCAGAAACCTCCCGAAAAGTAACACAATCCATCTCGCCTCCGTCTTGGGAGCGACGACGATGTTGCATCCTTACCTGACGTCTGCCGGATCTTCGGTCACGAGGACATCCGTCTTGCAGCTGGCCAGCGGGTTGATCGACAGCTCCACTGGGGGAACCACAAAGCTCTTGCTGACAGGAAGCCAGAGGCCTTGGCCAAGGCTGTAGGTGGACCTTCAACAAAACGGGAGGCGAGAGAAGAAGGCAGCCATGATGCCAAGTGAAAAGCCCACATTGGAGAAAGCTGGTTGGTTATTCAACAGTATCACTTCCCTCACCTTTCCCTGTGCGGCAGAAGGCAGAATCCTTAATCAAAACAAAGAATCCTGTGAAGTCTTAAAATTCAGAGTTTATTTAGACCAAGAGTTTTTTTGGGGGGGTGTTGGATCCTCCACCAACTCTTCAGGTGTATCTGATCTGCTACCCTTGCCACACAAGGAGGTGGTTTGAAAAAAGCAACAGGGTATGTAAGGTTGTGTGTGTGTGTGTTTCTGTGCCATCGAGTCCAAACTAACTTATAGCAACCCTGTAATAGGGCTTTCAAGATCACTGAGATATTTAAGGATTTACTAGCTCCACTCCCCCGGTGAGTTTATATGGCCCAACGGGGATCCAGACCCTGTTCTCCAGAATCCTAGTCCGTCATTTTATACACTACAACCACACTGGGAATAAGGTTGTGTAGTGACCCACAAAAGCCTAGGCTCATGGATCAAACACCCAGTGGTCTACTTCAGGACACTGATGTCGGGGCAGCAATCTCTCCGTCTTGACTCTGTCGGTAATTCCAGGCAACAAGAAAAAAAAGCAAAGCAACATGAGAAGACAAGTTTAATGGATACTGAAACCCCACTGAAGGAGGCTGCATGACTCACCTAAGTATTTTCTCTGGGGCTTGCTCTCCAGTCACCAAATCATAGCCTCTCTCAAGGGTTGTATATGGCCAGGGCCTGAAAGAGTAAGGTGGGAACAAAGAAGAAGAAGAAGAAAGAAAAAAACTCAGGCAGGCCAAGGGATTTCTGTCAGTAAAAATCTCCACCGACTTGAGTTGCATGACTTAATTTGCAACGGAGGTCTACAGGGTCTGCTTAACTTAAGGCAATTCACATCTGGAAGTTAGGTCACTTGCATAACTACACAATAGGATTTAAGCCGCTGCTGAAATTACCATCAACACAGAATGACAAGATTCCTCTGGAGTTTTCAGGCCCAGGTCTTCCTCGGACGTCCCTGAAGGTGCTGCAGGACCGAATTCCATAGCTTTTACATGCAAAGCATGCGCTGCTCTGCTGCACTACGGCCCTTTTAAAATTGCTTTTTTATACAGCATGATGATGTTCAATAAATACATATTTAAACAATGATTTATAAATACCATCCTTTGGAATTAAGAAGGCAGCAACACGGCGCTGCGAGACTTGTTTGTTGCATGCACATGCCCTTGGAAAAAAAATGGGCAGCGGCGTGCTAGGAATCGTCAAAGCATCCAAGCAACGAGAGCCTTCCACCTTTCCTACTCTGGATGCTTCGATTCTTCCCTGACTCTTCCCTCATTCTGGCTTCCAGAACGGCGCCTGGTGCCTGCCCGGTGGCAGAAGGCATTGGGGGAGAGGCAAGGTCCAAGCCTTTCCTCATCGGGCTAATGTGCTCAGCATCTCCCTACTCAGCTTCAGAAAAAAATTCAAAGTTAACTCTACTTGTCATCATCATCATCATCAACATCATCAACTGTGTCATTCTCATCCACGATTTATTATGGCTTTTATTTTCCCTTTTCATTCAATACATAGTGTGGCTAAGTAGGAAAGCTTAACAGTAGTCAACCCACTGGGAGACTGGAAGCTTGTCTGTCCGTCCGTCCGTCCGTCCGTCCGTCCGTCCGTCCGTCCGTCCGTCCGTCCGTCCGTCCGTCCGTCCGTCCGTCTCTCTCTCTCTCTCTCTCTCTCGCTCGCTCGCTCGCTCGCTCTCGCTCTCTCTCGCTCTTGTTCTCACTCTCTCTCTCACACACAACTCTTCCTGATCTATCTGACCAGGCTGTTTTGAGGACAAAACAAGGAAGTCAGCCATTCCCGCCACCTTGAGCACACTGGAGGAAAAAAAGGGGGATTATGCAAGCAAAGAAAGAACAGGGAGAAAGAGCTCAAGGTAGCTAATGAGCACAATCTAACTGAAATCAAAACAAGCTGGAAAATACTTAAAAACAGATTAGGACATTGCACCCATTAATAAGTCATTATACTAAATACTTTATCCCACTGTCACTGTTCTTCACGACTGAAATCTAAAACAGCCGGAACTTTGCACCCTGAGCTGCTATAATGGCTTTCTGGTCAGGCTGGGATGTTGGTTCAGCAAAGACAGGCTTACTGTTCTATGGCTAGCTAGAGCTCAGACTTTTTTAAACTCCTGCTTGTGTCTGTTAGTGTGCACATTTCTGCGACTCATTGTTATTGTCTGAAATAATGCGAGAAGGAAGCGACTACACAGCTTGAGGTGGGAAGCCTTAGAACGGAGAGGCATAAAACTTGAAAAACTGTCAAAATACTCTTCCGGAAATGGCTAAAAATGACCTTTTTTAAAGCTAACTTTCGAAAACAGGTAGGAAGTGTTGCTGTTTGCACCAAATGGACCCATTCCATTCCCAGACATTATTTTTGAAATGTAATTTCACTGTGCCTTTGTTCCAGGAAAAGACACACAACACACAACCCAACCCAACACAACACAACCCAACCCAACCCAACACAACACACACACACACCTGTATCACTGGTTAAGTCTGTTCAAAGGTTCGCCCAGAGTTTGGCACAGGGCCAGCACACAAATCAGAAATCCCACAACCTATTCATCCCCCCCCCTTGGAATATTTTGCACTCACCCCTCGCTGTGTCCCCAGTCATTGCGCACACACAAGTGCCGGTGCACGGGATCCGGGGCGTAGCCTTCGTGGCAGCTGCACTCCCCTGCAAGCAAAAAGAGAGAGAACATTTGGGAATACTCAACTTTTGATGTGTCTGGTCATCGTCTCTCTCAGATCTCCCAGTCGTGAGCCACACCGGACTTTATAAGCCATACTGTTATGTGTTGTCAAGTTGGAACCCATTGACAGTGGCCCGAATAACGCTTTCAAGGCAAGTGAGATGTTTTTAGGAGTGGCTTTACTAGTTCCATTGTGAGTTTCCATGGCTGAGCGGGATTTGAACCCAGGTCTCCTGAGTCCTGGTCTGTTACTCTATCCACTACACCACACCAGGTTTAAAAGTCTTGCATTCAAGCAAATACAGGTTTCATATTGCTGGTCCGTTACTCTACACAACACCAGGTTTAAAAGTATTGCATTCAAGCAAATACAGGTTTCATATTTACGTTTTCTACAACACAACACTTCAGTATATTGAAATTTTAAAAAGGCATTATAAGCTTCATCTTTACCTATGTATAGGAAGAGAACACCCTCCCCTGCCCCCATTTGACTCTCTCTCTCTCTCTCTCACACACACACACACACACACACACACAGAGAGAGAGAGAGAGAGAGAGAGAGAGAAATGTAGGCAAAATGTAATGAGCCAAGAAGTTATCATTTCTACCTCCCTCGCCCCATCTTCATTTTTTGGGCAACACCAAGGAGAGTCTACGCGGTGTGCTTTTCTTGGCTGGCTCTGTTTGATCCCCAATTCACGCGAATACATATCCCCCAGCAAGTGCCAGCCAGGGGAAAAGAAGAAGAAGATTAATTGGATTTGTTCATCCAGGAGTCACTGAAAGCTGGTGTTGATTTTTCTTCTCCTTTTCCCCTTCAGCTGATACCTTCCCTTGATAAAGCACCAAGTAAAAGTTTTAAGCACAGGTGGTGGAGGAAGGAAAAAAAAGGTGGAAATGCACTTTTTACCTCCACCCTTCCCTTTTTCTTTTTCGCCTTCTGCTGCATATGCTTCAGATGGTAATACAACAACGCTTCCTGTTTGCTAGGGACAAATTGGGCTGTCTTTTTACTGCTGTTACTGTTTGCTTCCCTTGGGAGACGAGATGATAATCGTTTCTCAGCAGAAGCTGCGCAAGTGGTCATTTCTCAGGTTTCTGCTCCAGATCCCAAGTCCCAAGTGTTTAGGGGGAAATAAATGAATCCTCTCTCCTGCCCTTCCCAGCCCCGGAAAGGACGGCATGAGGGGTACGGATCCTGCAGCTGCACAGCATAACATTATCAGCACCTCTCCTCTCCATCGCTAACGCAAGGTGTGCACCCAACGTGTCCCATTTGAGCAGAAAGTCCGTTTTAAAAACCAGGACCCAAACCAGCGGGCTCAAACTTCCCGTTCGCTCACAGCCCTCGGACATCCTGGGTCTGGAGAAAACAACGCCTGGAACTCACCTGAACAGGTGCAAAAACAAGGCTACGCAGCAGACATATCTCAACGCCTTCTGCACACTGCAGCAGCTCCTGGGAGCATATTTCAAACAGTTGTGAACAGATTTGTAGGCAACTGTGTTTATCTACCTTGTTTTTAAAAATTGCACAGAGAACAAAGGCTGTTTGGGGTTTTAAGTCAGTGGGGGACGGGCTACTGGAGAGTAAGCAAGCAGCGGAAAGCGATAAATACTTCAGGCACCCGGCTGGAAAAGAGCCTTCAAACAACATATAAATGGTGATGGCTTAAATGGATCAATGGTATTAAGACGACCGAGTTAACAAACACGTCTCCTTTCCACGGGCAGGGTGTGTGTGAAAATGTCTCCCCTCTTGGGTTCGATCCCGAGGTAAGGTGTGGAAGCTACACAGGTCAAAATGTACGGTCCCCCTTGGGAGCTAACCCAGCTTCACAAAACACACGCTCTTGCGATCACTGGCCTCTCAGGCAGACCTTAAAATGTCTCAAGGGGATGAAGATCACTCCTTTCCTTGCCAGAAGGCAGTCAAACAAGGTTCCTTTGGCAGCAGTGATGTTTCTTTTAAAGAGGGAAGTGGCGAGGAGAGGGGGAGAAGTGGTCAGAAGACCAGGGGAGGGGGAAAAAGGAGGGGGAGAAGACGATGAAGAAGACAAGCTAATGATGTGCTAAATTGGAACAGCACCTTCATAAAATATTCACCGTCTTAAACACGTCTAATATTAAAGATTAAATGTCCCGGGATTTGTCCTAGCGGACTCCAGGGGCCTGATTTATGATCTGCCAGGAGGAGCGGCTAACTTTGTGATGCATGATGCAAGGTTTCCAAACGCAGCCTTTCCGAAAGGGGTGGATGGACGGAGGGTGGGCGGGTGGATGAAGGAAGGTCTGGCTCATCGGTGAGCAAGCAGGAGCAGCGGGAAGGGTCCACCCTTTTCTAGGGGTTGCCGATAGGGAGGGTAGCTGAAAGGGGGTGGCCCAGCCGGCAGGCTCATTTGTCGGGAGAACCTGCCTGGCGATGGAAAGAGCCATTAATAAGCCATTTTCTTTCTCCAGTGCTTAGCATGCAAGTTTTCCCTCTGCCTGGGTCATTAATTCCTCACACTTACCGCATAACAAATATGTGTTCTGCAATCAAGCTGCGTTTTAGAAGGGGATGCAGAACGTAGCAGCCAGAGAATGGGGTTCTTCAGCAGATGAAGAGATAATCTCTTTTTCTTCCCCCTCCCCACCATAGTCTTTCGGTCTGTCCTCCTCACCGATTCCGTAGAAACAAGATTTTAAAGATTGTATATTGTTTGGAGGCTTGCTGAGAAGCAGTGTGAACCCAGGGGCATCTTGTATTCAGCCTTCAACACAAAAATGTGTCTCCCTGTATATATTCTGTCCAGATAACATTGACAGAATACCCTACGTACTTATAGTTGTGGGTGGGGGGCACAATGTCCTCTGGTCTTTGTGACTAATGGCATGCAAGGGAAGGAGAGGAACAGCCCCACCACCTTCTGCCATGGCTTTGCTTATGATGGCTCTGAAACACCAAGGGTTTTCCATCTATGGAGGCTTCCAGAAACTAGGCTGTCCAACATTCAGGCTTGTGCAGTGAGTTCCCAAGGACAGAAAAGGCTCCGCTCCGCTCTTCAGGCTCCTCCATTTTCACATAAGCAAAATGATGATGAAATGCGACATGGCTAGCATACTCCCCTCTGTGTTCACAGGAAATAAAACAATACAGTGGTGCCTCGCAAGACGCAAGTAATTTGTTCCATGAGTAGCGTCGTATTGCGAAATTTTCATCTTGCGAAACCGCAGTTTCCCATAGGGATGCATTGCAATGCATTCCTATGGGAAACCTCGCAAGATGAACAAATTATTTTCGTCTTGCGAGGCGTGACTCTTGCGAGAGAAAAATTGTCTTGCGAAGCACAGCCATAGAAAAAGCCGTCTTGCAAGTCACCACAACAATCACAAAACGCTTTCGTCTTGCGAGTTTTTCGTCCGGCAAGGCATTCATCTTGTGAGGCACCACTGTATTGAGAATGACTGAATGGGACTCTGTTGACACCCCCACTCTCCCCTGCAGGAAATCTCCCAGACGGACAGCTGGCAATGCAAAGAACTTTCCATGTATCACAAGCCGAGAAGTGGTCTTATACTAAGTCAGACGATCCATCCATCTCACCCAGTTCCAACCTTGGGTACCCAGATGTTCTTGAGCTTCAACCCCCCTAGAAATCCGGACCAGCACAGATAGTGGTGAAGGCTTCTGGGAGTTGTAGTCTATGAACATCCGGGGACCCAAAGTTGGGAACCACTGATCTAGTCCACTGTTATTAGGGACTGGCAGCACATCTCCCAGGGCCCAAGCACGATTCTCTCCTAGTCCTAACTGGAGATCCATAGTGATCTCTCACCCAAATAGGGATCAAACCTGACCCAGGTTAGTTTCCCAAATCAGACGCAGAATGCCCTACTAATTTGTGTTCAAGGTGGCATATAAGGATGACGATGAGAGACCAACAGCTCCAACCCAGATGAACTTTGTCTTCACCTGAGTGACATGTATGCAGGAAGAAGGGACCAAGGAGGGTAAGGAGAAGCTACAAGACAGACTGCTCATGAAAGAAACTCACATTTTTCACAAAAAGCTTCCTGAGGAATGTGAATTTCCCTTCCCCCATGACTCATGCAAAAATATTTTACTAGCTGATGCTGAGTGGTAGTATTAAGACAGACTTACAACGGGGAAGCAGAAGAGACTTCAAACCATATGTATTTTCATAAATATCCACATGACTTTCATGTTTTCACACTCTGTCAAACCAAAGTTTAAAAGTCCCAAATGGTTTAATCCCCTCCCCATTCCTTTGCGGACCTTTGTTGGCAAGACATCACCTTGCCAACAATGGTCCACATAGTCAAAGCTATGTATGGAATGAGAGGTGGACCATAAAGAAGGCTGACCGCCGAAGAATTGATGCTTTTGAATTGTGGTGCTGAAGGAGACTCTTGAGAGTCCCCTGGACTGCAAGGAGAACAAACCTATCTGTTCTGACGGAAATCAACCCTGAGTGCTCCCTGGAAGGACAGATCCTGAAGCTGAGGCTCCAATCCTTTGGCCATCTCATGAGAAGAGAAGACTCCTTGGAAAAGACCCTGATGTTGGGAAAGTGTGAAGGCAAGAGGAGAAGGGGGACGACAGAGGAGGAAATGGTCGGACAGGATCATCGAAGCAACCAACATGAATTGGACCCAACTCCGGGAGTCAGTGGAAGACAGGATTGCCTGGCGTGCTCTGGTCCATGGGGTCACGAAGAGTCAGACACGACTTAACAACTAAACAACAACAATTCCTTCACCATTGAAGCAAAAACTTTCCCAACCTGGCAAAATCATAAAAGTAGTATCTCCGGTACTCAGGCTTTTGCTCCAGGCTCCGTTTTACACGAAAGCTTGTTTCTCACTAAACCCCATGTGGCCAGCTGTTCCACCAGCCTGACCATTCGGTGGAAGGTTAATCCATCTCTAAAGGCATCGCTCTCTGTCTTGCCCGATGCAGTATTCCAAGACAAACTCAGTTCAATCAACATGCATTCTCATCTGCCAAAAGCCCAGGTCAAGGGATCATCTCTTTTTTAAAAATGATAGAAAAGATAGACCTGATCAGACTTAATTGTGGAATCATTAAGATACAATCAAAATCCAGGAATGTCCACATCTTATTCTAGACAATGCCTCTGTTACTTTAGAAAGCCTGAGACGCATCAGGGGTGCCAAACACTCCTAGTGAGCCATCCTGTCTCTACCATCAAGCACACTTTCACAGATGGGAAGTCTCAGCCCTCTCTCCTTTCACCTTTTTCAAGAAGCACGAATCAGCCAGGAGGCTGGGGGAAAAGTTTTCTCTCTATCTGAGACCCTGGAAATGAAAATGCAGAGACCGGGGGACGACAACAAACAGCCACACTTCGAGTAGATTCCTTGTTGCTTTTCTATCAACGGCTGCTGTTGGCTGGGCGTTCGCTTGTGGTTCTCAAGGTACACTTTTTCAAAGATGGTCCACAAACAGTTTGTGGTGCCAGCGACTTGAAAGAAGACACATATTTGTGGATTATTTCATAGTTGGGGGACAACATGTTCTAAATACACCAAGTTCCATTGGGGCACCTCAGCCCCACGGGATCTACATACCCCTGGAATGCTAACTGACCCCCCAAACAACCAGGGTACCAGGTAGAAAATGTTAACTGTTCCTTTGTGTTAACATCCAGAGCTCTGCATGCCTCTTTGCCCATTCTGTATTCTTCTTGTCGTTCAAGGCTTCACGCCAAAAAGCACATCTCCATTTCAAGTAGACAAGCTGCCCTGTGAAACTGAGCCCGGCCAGATGAGTGGACAAAAGCCCAAAGGAGCAGCTGCAACAAACGCAAAAACACACAAACAAATGTGAATCGCTCCACGTCTCTCGCCTGAAATTCTCCAGGTTCTCCGTAAGCGTCCAAGGAAAGCAGCAGATTGATCGATCTTCTCCTGAGGGACTGAAAGCTGCTGGCTGAATGTCAGAGGGACAATTTCTTAATCCTGTATCCAAAGACAGCTTGAAATTTCTGAGCTGGTGACAAAGCTGCCTGGTGTCATGCATGCCTTCCAGCGTGGAGCAGGAGCTTCCAGGACTCAAGCTGAGCCTCTTTATAGAGTCCACGAGCAAATGCCGCGTGCAGTGAGCCACTGAAATGTGTGTTGTGGCATATACGGTACTGTCAGGTTCTTGTCTGTCTCCCTTCACCCGTGACAGCTAAAGAAAGAAGCATGTAGGGGGTCTCCTGTGTCAGGTGAAGAGGTGTCTGGGTAGAGAGGTCTTCCTGAGGTCTGTGATGCTCCTGTACTTGCTGGTTTCTCTGTAGAAAAGCCCTTTAGACTGGGCTGGCTCTCAGCAGCACTGGAACTCTTTATTTCTTTAATTCTTTAATTCTTTCTTTCTTCCTTCCTAACTTCCTTCCATCCATCCATCCATCCATCCATCCTTTGCTTGCTTGCTTCCTTTTCTTTTCTTGCTTTTTCCTTTCTTTCTTTCTTTCTTTCTTTCTTTCTTTCTTTTCTTAGTTTTCTTTTCTTTCCTTTCTTTCCATCTTCTTTCTTCTGCTTCTGTTTGTCTTTCTTTCTTTCTTTCTTTCTTTCTTTCTTTCTTTCTTTCTTTCTTTCTTTCTTTCTTTCTTTCTTTCTTTCTTTCTTTCTTTCTTTCTTTCTTTCTTTCAATTTTTACACTGCCCATCTGGCCAAAGGCCACTCTAGGCAGCTTACAATATATATAAACAATATGCTCAAAATACAATTCAGCAGAATAGAACACAGAAATAATAAAATGAAAATGGACCGCACCATCAAAACTTAAAAACATTCAGAACATTTAAAACATTTACTCCTCTCCTCCACAGGTCTTCTCTTACTCTACCCATCACCACTCCAGAAACGTGTTCCTTCTAGCCTTTCATGCTTCACAGCCCACTCTTGGTGGGTCTAATGGATAATGCTCCCCTTCCCCCCCCCCGATGCTTCTAGTATAGAGGTTCCCGCCCTTGGGTCTGCAGATGTTCTTGGACAACAACATCCAGAAGCCTTCGCCCCTAGCTGTGCTGGACAGGATTTCTGGGAGCTGTAGTCCAGGAACATCTGGGGACCCAACGGTTTGGAACCACTGTTATAATAAATAATTCCAATTGTATCTAGCTGACACCACCAGTGATGACAGACGATGGGAGCTGTACCAGGGAAAAATAGGAGACAGGCCAAAGCTGTGGACCCATCACCTATGTTTTCTGCCAGGAGTGGGTGTCATAAAATCTTAGGCGATCACTCAGATCCCTTCATCTTTTCTATGTGACACAAAACTGTCTCTGAACTTAAGCTATTAAGGCAGTCCCTACCGACTGCATCAGCAGTATTCATTTTGTAAGGTTATTTGTTCCAACTCAGACTGTTGCTAGTTTATGAGTTGTGGGGAAAGTTGGTTGCTGCTGGCATTGTGGTTGAGACAGGACACCTAAATGCAATAAAAGTTGTGAAATCTTCAACTCCTTTGAGCAACCTTAGCATTGGCAAGAGCCCAAGACCCCTTTTCCCTGTTATGGACTGTGTAATTTGAATAAAATATTTTGCACAAAACTAGTCTCTCCCCCCCTTTTTTTATGAAGCTAAGCACACACAGGGAACAAGCACACAAGAAGAGGAAAGACACAAACAACCCATCCGAGGCTACTGAGTTTACTACTTCCTGAAATAAAGCAGCAGGGAATGTATTTCGCAGCTTTGTATATTTCAGAGGCATACAGGGAAAAATGTTTTCGAAATTGTGCAAGTTCTCTCCTAGATTAATATCAGCAACAATAAAATCCAAGCATCTCACACAAAGCAGATTTTTAGCTCTTTATTTTAGTCAATTAGATGTCCCACTTACTGCACAAGGATAAACCACATCTGTGTTTCCTTTTAAGGGTCTCTGTAATTTCCGAACAGTATGTTTAACATTAGAAGGTTTCAACAAGGTTAAGGCTCAATGTGGTTACATTTCCAAATTCCAGCAAAGCCTTCCAGTTCCGACAAATGTTAAAACCTCTCTTTCGTTCTCCCTCCCTCTCAGAGGATCTGCCTGTTCTTCCCTCCTCCCAAGCTGTTCATTGAAACTGACATTTAACACAAAAAAACCCCATGAAGAGAGGATTTAGAAGGGGAAAGGGCACCTGTTAAGCGGAAAACATCCATGCAATTTTTGTAATGTCTCTTGGATTTCACCTGACAGTTACTGTGATTATTCAAATGGCACGATGCATTCATATTCGGGAACCATCAAACCATGAAAAGCCCATAGAAATACTCAAGGGCAACAGGAGATTTGATCAACATATCCCATTGTTACCTCACCATACCTTATCAAAGGCAGATACCCATCAGACTGGGTGGCAGTGAATGCAGTTATTCTCATATCCAAGATACAAAACACTATTATATACGGATGGATTAGAAATATTTACTGACAGGGTTAGCTTGTGAAAATTAAGTGTTGAACAGTGGATGTAGACCCATTGCAAAGGCAGTTTTTAAGAGAATTTGGAGAGAATTTTTCGTCTCCACTTTATGTGTCTGTCAGACACTACTCTAAAGGCTCCTAGAATTGGCAATTACATGGATTTAGCCTACAGGGACCCTGTGTGGTTCAAATACAGGACATTTAAATGGAAATAAAATAAATATATTCTCAGTTTATTACCAGTTTTATGGTCCCAATACAGTCTGCATGGTTGATTATTAATGTTTTGTAATGTTAAATGATATTCAGGACCATGACCAGACTCCTTACTGGTGTTCGTAGAAAGCTTGGTAAGTGGACATGGCTAAATGCAGCTCATTGACAAGGTGCCGTGGTATATTTTGGTCCTACCGCTGGTCAAGTGCCCAACCACACCACCAAGATGTGTTTCAGCCCATCATCAATTTGCTTCAATGAGCCACAGGAATTTAACACCAACCTTATGCAAAAGCTGGTACGATTTCAATATCTGCAGCTTCTATGTGATGAAACCATCGTTTCCACATCATATCTAAACCTGTCATTCCCAAACATGGCTCCTAGATGTTGGGATTCCATTGGCACAAACAACAAACCAGCATGGCTAATGGTCACGGAGATTATGGGATGCCCAACAACAGAGAAGACAAGTTTGGGAGACACTGTGCATAAACAGGATCTTACATCTAGGAATAGCTCCAAGTGGAAACCTCGCTGCAAAAAAAAATGCTCTCCTCCATCCTTCCCCATTTAGGCAAATAGTTAAAATAAAAAGAATATTGTAACAGCTCCCAATAAAGATACTTGAGAAGGAGCCATTTCCCTTCTTCATTACAGGCACTGGTTCCCAACCTTTACCACTAGCATGTGGTAACACTCTGGGGATTGTTTTCCAAGAACATCCAGGGAGACGCAAGGCTGAAAAGCATGGGCTCCTCAAGGACTCCGTATCTTTCTAAATGTAGCACCCATTAAAGAATGGAGTATATTTGCAAGAACAAAGCACAGCACGAGAACACAGAGGCCAAGCTTGCAAGAAGTCAGGAACTTTCCTCTAGAGCAAAAGTGTGGATGCTTAGATTCTCCATCCAGCACATCCAAAAAAAAAAAAAAAGGATGATCATAATTGGCCAAAATATCTGACCTATCAGAGATACTCCATTAAAACCTCAGACTACAACAAGAACAGGCATAAACAGCCAACAGCCTTTTTACTGTGAAGATACTCTCAGCTGAGTCACAGCCCACTCTCCCTCTTCGTTGAGGAAGACATTAATCAACATCATTATCTTAGAACTGCAGAGCTTGGAGGGATCCTTGAGTCCCTGACCTTGCCGAGGAGGCCCCACGGGGGAATCAAACTCCCAACCTCTGGCTCCACAGCCAGAAATCTCGACCGCTGTTCATCCCAAAACCCACACTTACCCGTCTCTTCATCACAGAGCTGCTCGCATGCATCTGTCGTCCTCTGTCCACAGAGATCCCTCACCCAAGGAGACGTGGCATTGATTTGATAATAGAGAGAGAGTTTCGCCGGGTTAAGCCAGTCGGAGATGTCCAAATAGCTTCCCTCGCTGACGACAAAGCTGCTCCCTGCAGGGGAAACCACAGAAAAAAAAAGGGAATTTGGGAAGGAAGAAAAGGTTGCTTTATTGACAAGACAGCAGGAAGACAGAAAAACCCTACCCCCCCCCCCACACACAACTTTCCTAGGCAGATCAAGGATGTTAGCGACCAACGTAGAAGCACTCCAATCTATTTGTGTCTGTGTGCTGTCTCTAAAGGTTGGGGCGGCCATGGGAGAAGAATTTATGAAGATATGAAAATATTCTTTGGAATAGGTCCAATGGTGGGAGTCAAGAGACTCTGAGCAGGGAGGGAAGATGGCCTGAGAAAGCATTAGGAGGTGATGACTTAGAGAAGGACCGCCAGCAAGGTTCCCTCTAAGCTGGGTGCGTGTGTGCATGCACACGCCTCTTCCTCCCTCTGTGCAGTTGTTTTCCCCCTCCGCAAAGCGATCATGTTAGGTTGCAGTCATGATGGAACCCAGAGTGTGTGTGTGTGGGGGGGTGGACTCACGCGCATGGACAGGAGCAAAGTCGCGCAAGAGGTGGAGCCCCACCCACTGGAGCTGAACGTTAGAGGGTGTGTTGAGTTGCCGGTTGTCATCTTTGGCTTATGAAGTAGTTTTGCAAAGAAAAAAGTCAGAACGTCAATTCCTGATACCTCTAGATGGGATAAGAAAAGAGTCCTTCTCTGAAATCTTGGATAACCTTTGCCAACAGGTAAAAAGAACAGGTGAGCTCATGGTATGAGAAACTGCTGAGACACCTCCAACGACATTCGCCCGCAACGTTCCTCCTATTATAGGGCAGGAGCAAAAGAGTTGCAAGAGGGAAACGGACAGAGGAATGGTTCCCAGGGCTGATGAGGAATGGGGAAAGTTGCATGCTTAGGAGACTACCATCAGGTCAGGTCTTTGCCCAGTGTATCCACCTGCTGAGGGAAGCCAATAACGGACCTTGGGAGAAAACTCACTTCTGCAGAGCTCCTGATAGGGATAAGAAGGAACCACAAAATAATAGCCGTCAAGAGTTTTCTGGCACCTTAAAAACAAACAGGCTTGGCTTGACTTAAGGGATGGGGGTCTCCAGACCATTTTTTTTTCAGGTGCACAATGGGCTGCAGCCTGTGATCGCTTCATGCCAAATTGAACGCCTTAGTCTTTAAGGTTCCAGCAGATGCTCTTTGCTGTCCCCCCCCCCAAGGCAAGAGAGTAGGATGACGACCCTCCTGGACGTTTCAGAACAAAATAATAGAGTTAGCTGTTTCTACATAATGGAAAGAAACCATTGCCTTTAAAAAGTCCATCTGCTCAAGCTGGCAGAAGTTTAAGAGAAACAGGTAGCTTAAGAATAATAAGCTTAGACCTGCAGAGCTGGAAGGGGCCCTATGGATCATCCAATCCAGCCCTTGTCAAGGAGGACCAGAGGAGGGAATCGAACTCCCAACCTCTGGCTCTGTAGCCAGAGATCTAATCCACTGAGCTATCCGGCAGTGATCTTTTCTTGTCCTTCTTTAGACACACACACAGAGACACACAGACACACAACTTTTTTTGTCCTTCTTTAGATACACACACACAGAGAGACACACACACAGAGAGAGAGAGAGAGAGAGAGAGAGAGAGAGAGAGAGAGAAAGAGAGGAAAGCTAGGAATAGGCACCTTCTAATTAGTCAAATTGATTTTCAGTTGAGCCCAATCATTTCGTTATCTAACGTCTGAAGCACAACATCACTTGGGGGATTTTGCAAACGCCAAGGTCCTCATTAACTCTGATCTCCAATTACATTGATTATAGTGCTGTTTTCACAATGCTGTTGTAGAGATCAGAGGTGACTGGGTGGCGGTGCGAGAACCACCATCATGCCACCTCTTTGCAAATTTCATGTCATGAAAACTCCTTTTTTAAAAGGTTTATCAGACAGCAAGAAGACACTGACAAATCTAACTGCTTCCCCATTTGATGGCTTGTGACTGGTTTTCCAACGTATTTGTGTGTGTGACATTTATACTGCCCAGTGTGCTATAGTGGCTAGATTGACATACCAGGACTCAAGAGACCTGGGTTCAAGTCCCTGATCAGGGATGCAAACTTAATAGTTTGGGGGCAGCACTGGCAAAACCACTCCTTGACTATCTGACTGACCTTGAAAACCCTATTAGGGTCTTTATGAGTCAAATGCAATTTGAAGGCACACACATTATATGTGTCTCCCATCTTTAGATCAAAAGCAAAGTGGTTGGCAGGAATAATTAAAACACCTTAGAAACAACTGCAAAACGCAGCACAGTGACTAGAGAGATTCAAAAAAATTCACATTACTCATTACGACCGTTTAAAAGGCTAGTTAAAGGGGGCAGATCTTCCCTAAAAGCAGAAAGAATGGGAATGGTTTGAAAAGCCAAAAGAAGAGGATTCCATAGGCTGGGAGGAACGCAGAAAGAGAGACTACCATTCCTACAGCGATGACGTTACTCTTAAGAGAATTGCTCCTGTAGGTCTCAGTATCTAGTGAGTTTTTTTCCCTACGGTTCTGAGACACAGGCTCTGATCAGCACCACGGACAGCTCCACGTTAGGGCTGGATGAGTGACGGAAATGCTCCTCTCATCCTCCCTAAGTTCGTTTTCAGAGAATAGCCTGGTGCAGCCGATTGCAAGGCTTCAGTCTCTCCAGTTCAAAGGGCAACGCTCGACTGTGTTGCCCTTCATCTCAGCAGTTCCCCAGGGCAACAGGTGGTTGGAGCAGAGGAATAAGTGCTCAGAAGGCGCTTGAAGAAAATGCAGTGCTAATTGAGCCAACGCTAAACAGGGCCTTTCCACCGGGAGTTCTGGAAATCCTTGTCTACCTAACAGCAGGGAGACTGAGTCCTGAGACTTTAGCTAGTTGAGGATCACAACATGGACACTTGATCGTCTGTGCTATCATGCACCAGCGCTAAATGGGGCAGCTTTATGAAAGGTCTTGCTCTCTCTGGCAGGAGCAGAACTTCTCTGATAATGCACGTACAGCCTCTTGGCACAATGTTCTTTCTTGGCCTTCAAGAGGGCTGTGGCCCTCCGCGCTCCCACCTCAACCCATGGAATTTGGTCTTTCCATCTCTGCAACCCCAGGGCGACGGTACAGCTTTGCCTACTCTTTATGTCTGTTGAAAGACGGTTGCAACACAGCGGGAATGTACACCGGGCCTCCCAAGAGACAAAGCAATGGCGAGGACGAGAAATTCTGGGGGAAGGGAAAAGGCTCTGGAGGACGCATAGCCTCCAGCGAATTTTTTTTTTTGGGGGGGGTTACATAAGAGTCCATTGGGACACCTACCCATGGCTTGTTTTGTTTTATTATTTGATTCTCCCCTTCTCTCGCCCCACATTGATATCAAAGTAAAGCCAGCTGTGGCCACTTCATAAGTTCAAAGGTCTCATCCAGAGTCCCCATCAAAGTTCAGCAAGCCTGTTTAAAAGCGTCCAAGATAGAAGCTTGAAGGTTTTTTTGACATTTTTAAATATATCGTCTTTTTCTTTCAAGAACAAAATGGGATAAAACAGCCCCAGACTTTGTTCTTTTTCCCTTGTTAAATATCTAAAGAACCCAAGACGCAGCTAAAAATACTTGGCAAAATTTTCCTCCCTTCCCCCCCTCCCCTTTTACTCCTCCTCCCCCTCTCTTTTTTCTCCCTGCCTTTTAAGACACATATAATTTCAAAAAAACGATTGCAACTGAAATAATTTGCATTTCTCATTGGATGTTCTGAAACTCCATACCCTTAACACTTAGTCACTAAATTTAGTTCTGCTCTTAGCTTCCCCTTTTTAGAATTACTCCCTTGTTGTCTCAATTTTTAAAAAAGAACATATGCAGGGAAAGGGGCCTTTAAAAGCTACCATCATCCCACACACCCACGCCTTGATTTACTTTTTAAGGCTCTCCAGCCCTTCCGCTTGGAAAAAAAAAGCCAGCCTACATCAAGCTTGTTGTTGTGTGTCATCCCATCATTTCTGAATTATGCTGATTCTATGAATAAGTGGCTACAAAACTCTGTGCTTTAGGTCTCTGGCAGAGTTTGGACGTTTGGAGAAGATCCAGCCTGGGTGGCCTTGGGCCAGCTGCATGATCTCAGGGTGCCCCAGAAAGGTAAACCACTTCTGACAGCACGCAATGATGACAATGAATGAGTGACCCCTTAATAATCATGTGCTTCTGACTTCTGGAGACCTTTCTCAGGGCTTCCAGGTAAAGAATACCCATAAGTGGCTTATCATTCCTTTCTTCCCGGTGGCATCTTGGGACTGTGCATTTTGTCCATGGCTGCACAAATGGGACTTTACTGGCAGGAGTCCCGGTGGGGAAATCTACTAGGTCTCTGCAGCCAGAGACCAAGTAACTCACAGAGCTATCCAGTCAGCAAGATCACCAAAAGGCCCTGTTGTTAATACCATTCATCAAGTCGCATCAAAGTTAGAGGCGCGACCACGAGGAGTCTTTTATTCAAACAGAACTTTAGAGTAATAATTCTGATAGACAAGAGACACCGGGGGGTGGGGGGTGAAGGGTGGAAAAGAGAGAGGAAGAGTGATCGGTATTCCTTCTTTACAGCTACTGCGGGCACAATTTTAAACCTGCTCAACTGTGTGATGTAGGAAGCAACCATTTATTCAAGGGATGGGACTTGATACATGCATCTGGAAACACTTGGGCAAGCAACCCAGAAGGCCAGGTAACTTCAAAGGGTGAAGGATGCACAGAGACCATGAGTTTGCCCCCAAAAAACCCCAAAACAATTTTCAGGGACATATTTAATTAAAAGCAAGGTGAAAAAAATGTCCCAAGCCTAAGAAATCAAGAGGAAAAGAAGGGAAAAGCTGCATCCAATTCCATGGGCATTGTGCTAGAGATAGCTACAGGGAAGGGAAATTAAGAATTTTCAGGTGAAACAACTGAAGTTCACTTGCATGTCAATCATGGCACAGTATTTGGGAAGCAAAATGAAGTCACAGCTCATTTAGTTGTCAGCTAATGTGGGAACAGGGT